AGCATTTGTGTGAATGTGTTTGAGTGCATGCGCAGATATAGCCATCATAGAAGTCAAACTTTACAACATGTTTTCTGCACTACTGCTTCATTCCTCCAGTAATAAACACTTTTTATAGATGCTGATCATCTATGTGACAATCAAGAAAATCCATAATAAAATGGAAAGTTTAATTCAGTATAGATATGAAAGATGCATGATGGTGAACTTCCATGATGTCTATAGCTGTGTGTGTTTGTGTGTGCAGATATGCATATAAGTGTATATATATGCCAGTCAGAGCATGCTTGAGTGAAGAGGTTTATTATTTTCCAATAAACAATAGCTGTGGATACTCATGTTTGACCCCAGAAGATTCTTCATTATCAATTCAATGCGCCATAACATGCATTTTATTCAAAAATAAGTGCAACATCCTTTCAACTTAACTTGGTGTTCTTATGGTGACACAGCTTTGTTCCAACAGATGCATTAAATAAATAAGACATATGCTGTAACAAACATCTACATTAGTCTTTTCAGCTCCTTGCGTTGGTGTTCACCCAGACACTGCTAGAAATGTAGAAGCGCATCACCTCGGCCCATACCCATAACTCACTATGGGTACCCATAACTCTGCATTCAGGCGCAGACCAAAGCCAATTCCATCTTCCTTTGCTGCTTAGCAGTACGCAAAAACCTCTCTTGGTTTGTACTCGAGTATTTTCCTAAAAAAACGAAATTGAAAACGGCGCATCCATAGCCTTTACCTGGCTACGGAGGACTTTGAAGACTTTTTTCCAACTATTTATTACTGAATAGTAGCCTCTGAATCCCCTCTCCCTCGTTCTCTGTGATAAATCAAGGCAAGAATGTTCTGCGCTGACTTTATTATCTATTAGTCTGATGTTCACAACACTGCAGCCTCAATCAATGTGTGTCTCATTTTTGGCAAGCTAATGTTGAGGCCTAGAGGTATTGTGTGTGTGTGTGTGTGTGTGTGTGTGTGTGTGTGTGTGTGTGTGTATGTGTATGTGTATGTGTGTGTGTGTGTGTGTGTGTGTGTGTGCTCCTGCTTTAGGACAGTGTCTTGTGCCTTTTTTTTTTTACTTTTGTGAAAAAACTGACAGCTATTTTTACTGACCACATTTGTGTGATCACTGATGAGACTCTATGCTGATGTTCAGTGAATGATGATTATTTTTCCCAGAGGTCAAAGTCTTAACCCACTCCATCAGGTTGTGTGATTGCTGTCTTTTTTCAACTTTCTACGACCCCTCTACGACCCCTCAGACTATCTTCTTGTTTTGGTCTTTCATCAATCAACTGACACCAAAGTGGATTAGTTAGTTAGATATCTTTTGCTTATTTCTCGCTCAGCAGCTCCAAAGTAAATAATTCTGGCCAATTCAGAGAATTGTCTTCCAATCAGTCACAGCCTCATGACTCTCCAGTTGTCACAGCAGTCATTATCATTATTATTATTAATTGTCTGGGGTGATTGTGAACATCTGTGTGTGGGAATCCCAATTCTCTACAGGCTGTCAGAATCCAGACCTCCTCTTGTCTGGCCTAACCCTAACCCTGGCTCATTCTCTCGCCAGCCTTCACTGCCTTCTCTGTTCACTTTTTGTCATCTTTCTTTCATTATCTCACAATACAGGGCCACTCTCTTCACAGCCTATCTGTCTCTCACTCCTCTGGCAAATTTGTGGCGCGCACACGCGCACATGCACACATAAACATGTCAGCAACACAAAACACTTGGCATTCAGGGAATGTTTCATTCTCTGCTACCTGGAGAGAGTACAAAGGTATACAAAGCAATCATTTGCATGACATATGTGGGCAGTTCACATACAAATAGGACTATAATAAGCTCTCTGTGTGAGGGTGCAGCATTTTGACTTCTGCATATAATAAAACAAAGGTGTTCATGGATACGTGCAACGAGACTACGACCAACAGAAATGTGGTTTGGAATTTTTTTTTTCTTTTTCATGAAACTCAACCAGAATAAAACACTCAAAATAAAAATGCAATCTACATTCTTAAACCAGTACTTTTTAAAGTCTGCATTCAAATCAGAAATCAGTTGAAATATAGTTAAAATACCATTTTAAGATAGGATAAAAAGTTGAAGGAATAATTAAAAGAATAGTTCAATATTTTGGGAAATACACGCATTCGCTTTCTTGCCTAAGATGAAAAGATTGATACCACTCAAGCTGGAGCCAACAGACTGGAAATGGGGGAAACAGCTTAGGTTGGCACTCCTACACCAAAAGACGTGTAAAAGCTTCCATTGGGAGCGGTGATTCTCTGGCCCTATAGTGGCTCAGACAAAAGATGAATGGGCAGAAGCTGTGGCACAAGCACCTTCTATCTGTCTGTCTGTCACTTCAACAGTTGTCCAGAGTACGTTTAGACACAGCCGTCAGTTCAAGTTTTCTCCTCAGTAGCGATTGTTGCTCTTGCAGCACCAGACAGGATTTGTTTAGTCCCTGTAAGGCTTTCTGGTACTGCGGAGGCAGTGCAGCTGCATGGCATGGAGCAATACATCAGTAAACGGAGGAGATGTAGGCTGTAAAGCAAATGGCTCAGCAGGGGATTCAAGAGCAGGCTGTAAAGCATAATGACCAAGCTGCACCACACAGAGAGTTGATTGTGTGTCTGGTGCTCAGTGCCGCTTTCAAAGGGCTGTGATGGTAAAAAGAGTGGTGCTTCAGTTTAGTTGGTTTGCAATGCAGTCTGACATTGCCCACACCCATATAGAGACAAATGTTCATATCAGAGTTCCTCTGCAATACTGAAATGCATTGTGGGATGTTCCAGGTATATCTGTATCCAGTGACTAGTTATTCAGATGATTAATTTTGTTATAGTGTGGGTTTGAGAGGACACTCTGGAAGACAGACTATGATCTAACACTGATCTGATTGCTTACAATGTAAGTGGCTACCGGATTACCTTTTCTTTAGTTTTCCATAAATCTAAGATCCATAAAACAAGTCATAATCTCACCTGAGCTTCTTCTGTCTTAAAGGTTGATTTTGGGGTTGATCGCACAATCTGTGTTATGATTTTATTATCACAAATTGTGAGTATGGCACTGTAGTCATATTTTCCATATTAAAAGGGCTGTGTGTTCTTGGCCCCAGCTGAGGCGAGTGCACAGATTAGAGATAATACTTTTCATGAAGCAGATGATCTCTTCATTGGCGTCTGGACAGTGATGGGTGAGCTAAAGATGTGACCAGACAGAGATGTTTGCTTTCTCTTAATAATGATACCAGTGCATCACGTCAGTAGATAAATAAACTTACACTGGCTTCCGTTGCACTAAAAAAAAGGCAATGTATTCATCAGTATTGATGCTCGTGTGCCTTAATTCCTCTGGCTGCCACAATGCTCTGTCAATTTTAATCAGTTATTCTCTCCTTTTGCTGTACCTGTGATAACACGTTTCTCTCCAGTCATCTTGAAACTTGAATAGTCAGGGGTGGCATGAAAATTACTGTGTGATGGATTTGTCCATTAAAGCAAGCTGAGCTAAAACCTGGAGTCTCTCTGGCTGTCTGTCTTCTCTTTCTTTTTAATACAGACTCCCAAAACACACTCTCACATACAAATTACAACACTCATTATTTCCTTGCTGTAAGGCAACAGCTGTACAATGTACTGGCTTTTTGCAAGAATAACACACCTTTTAGGAAAACAGAAGTGATATTATTATTAAAACAGTGAGTCATTACTCAGACCCCTAAACCATACTAAAAGTGTTACTAAAAAATAATGTTAGCTTCAGTTTAGGGATTTTCAACTGTAATACAATTGTATTTATTTAGTTAACTTAACAGCTACATAACCTTACATACGCAATACGGTAAATTCCCACTGAGAGCAAACAAAGCGTCAAATATTTGTGAGAAAAGTCAGCTAAATCAAGAGCTGTCTGTATGCTGAAAGTACAGGCCTGTTTCAGAGCTGAAGCGCCCTGTTAAAGTCATTTGCTTTCAGCTGGTGATACTGACAACACCCAAGCTTTACCAAACTCCTCCTGTAGCCTCAATATGCCATTCAGTTGGCTGTCATGGACACTTTCTTGGATCCTCACTGACAGAAGGTCCAAATGGATGTTACATTAGCTGCAATGCCATGCAGGTGTGAGTTTCTCCTCTTTACTCTGCCAAGCAATACATGCCTGTTTGACGTTGAGTTGGGAAAGTAAATGGGATCATGATGAGGTATTCAGTGTAATTCAATATTTACAGAACATTTATTGAACAAAACCTGAGAAGGGAAGGAATGTGTAGCCTACTTTCGGCATGGAAGCATGGTGGCTTTAAGAAAGCTGTGTGTATGTATTAAGGCAAGTGTATATACTGTATGCCCGATGTGAAAAAAAATAAAAATGAAACAACACAGAAGGCTGGACACTGGAGCATAGTGTCATAAGACAAACTGGCTCAAAAATGTGCATTCATCTAATAATTTACTTGCTTTCTGAGCTACAGTTTAATCTACCTTTGAAAGAGCCAAATGAGTTTCTGAAAAAAACAAATACCCAATTAGTGATTTTTTTGGGCGGAATGAGCCCAAAAAAAAGTACTTATCTGAATTATTATAAATAAAATGTAAAGAAAGAAATTTACTATAGCTGACCTCCACTTTCCAAGTGGTCAGTGTTCTCCACTTTGCTTTGTTTGCCTCCCACAGACAAACAGAAAGACAGGCAGGACAACAGGTGAAAACATGCTGATTGAACCGGCAATAAGTATAATTAGATACCTGCTGTGCTATGTGGTGGTTTACTGTTTATTCTCAAAGGATCAGAATGTGCAGACGAATAATGAATACCAAATCAGTTACACCTCTTTAACTGAGCAAGATAATGTACATTCTTTATTTTTGTTGCTATACATTAGCGCCATCTAGCGCACGGTAGTTTCACTCAAAGGAAGTGACGTTGTCTCAAATTCCCACCAATCAACAGCCGCGGCTCAAAATTCGAAAGTCAACCTGCAGAGAGTCGGATGTGATGTGCTGAAATGGATTGTGTTGCTAAATAACTTTAGTCAACAACGCATTTAGCTACACACCAAATAGCCTGGTGGTTTGCACGTGTCGGTAAGTTGACTTTTAGGTTGCTTTCAAACATGACGGCAGCCTACAACTACTGTAGACATGGTTATATCGATATACGTTAACGTTAAATAGCATGCTAACCTAGTTAGCACATTAGCTTAGTCGTTTGTTTTGCTGAGGTGTATCAGCAGGCTACGCTGTTGATAAATTGGACAACGCCAAGCAAACATTTGAACTAATCATAGATCCTGAGCCATGGCGAAAGAACGGGTCCAGAAGAAGTCCTTCCAGCAGAGTCTGGAGGACATTAAGGAGAGGATGAAGGAAAAGAGGAACAAACGGCTGGCTCGTGCTTCAGCCCCCAGAAGAGTACGGTCCAAAATTATAAACAACAGCAGTGGTAAGGAAGTGGGCCATGCTTATCTATCGCTTTAACAATCACAGCTCAGATGACGTGTAGGACTTTCCCCACAATTATGTAGCATACTAGTGCTTGACATTGCCAGATGCAGGCGAGATGTTGAAATGCAGATGACGTTTTATCCCAAACAAGCAAATAACATCCATTCCGTGTTTTCTCCCAGTGGTTAACTCCATTCACACCATCCTGAAGGGTGTCCAGCTGAACAACAAGGAGCTGGCTGTTGCCCTGCAAGTTGAGAAGGAAAAGGGGAGACAGGCTAATGCAGTGATCCTGCAGCTGAAAAGGGAGCAACAGGCACTGTTTCTTCACCTACTTCTGTTCAAGAAGAAGCTCAAGGAGCAGGAGGCTCTCGCAGTGAGTGCTGCAGAGGTACACCGAGGAGACCTGTGGTCTGTTCTTTGTTGATCAACTAACTAATTATTTTCCGAAGTAATGTTACTGTGTGCCTTCGTAAAAGGAAATTATATTTGATTTATTTCTGTGTTGATTTAGAATAAAGCTCCAAACGTCCTTGTGGAACCCAAACACCATGTGGATTCAGCGAGGTAACTTTTTGAAAACAAAAATGAATTGCATAAACTTTGAGGACATCCCTTGTTCTGAGATTCAGGATCTATTACCTCTCAATTTACAGGAGAAAGTGGTCCAGCCAGAACCTTGATAAGCCCATTGTGTCCAAATCCTCACCAATTTGTGCAGGTATATATAGACACCAACACAACTACTACTACTCATAATATTAATGTTACGGATTAGCCAGAATAGTTTCTTTGTCAGCCGAGTACTTTTATACCATTTTGCTAGTTAAGTAATCAAACTAATTGTGAAGCATTCTGCCAGGAGTCTTATTTGTAGACCGATCAACAGAACACATTTAAATATTGGCTATTCTTCAGATCACAAAATGACATGACAGCTATTGTGTACGGGTCTCACTGTTTTAATAAACTATTGCATGTATCCAAAAAACTAAACTGTTGTAATGATAATGCTTTTGTTCTTTTTTTCACAGACCTTCCGCCTTCTGAAAAGAATAAACAATCTGACAGGCAGATGCTGCTGCCATCTACGGTGAGTGTGAGACGTCGCCATGCAGATCGAAGCAGCAGCAGCAGGAGGAGGTCTGACCGTGTGCAAGAAAGGAAGTCGTTGAGTGAGGGTGACCCCATCACAGGCTTGGGTACTTTGATAGCAAGTCCTATTCGCAGTGACTACGAAAATACAAATAAGCCACAGCGAGGAGCAGAAACAGATGTAGTGGAGCCCGTTGGAACTGAGGATTTTCTCCATTCTACTCCCGAACCTGTCCCGCCCAAAAACAGCAACAACCAGCAGCGGCCCAGCAGAAAAAAAATCCAGCAGCAGCCCCGAACCAAACCAGAAGCTGCTCCACAGAAAGCAGAGAGAGGCCGCAAACCAGACCGGGCCCCATTGAAGAAACCTTGGGAGAATCACAAACCCAGAACTCGCTCCAAGAGTCGAGACCGCTCAGCCACACGGGCCCAAACAGCAGTTCCGTCACAGGGCAATAAGCTCAACAGCTCACTGGGTTTTAATGACACATTTGACTTTGATTGTGAGGAGGCGGTTCACCTCACACCGTTTAGGGCCAAGGCAGAGGACACTCAGTCGTCCACGCCCATCGGCGAAGAGACTCCTCAAACTGAGGCTACAGATGTGGTTTCCAAACAGATTGAATCCAGCTCGTCATCACCAGCTTCTGAATCCGAGGACAGCCTTTATGTCCCTCAGAAGAGCAGACGGGCACAGACTTCCCCCGACGAGACCAACGTGATCACCACTCGTAGAGGCCGGCACTCTAAAGTCGTCAGACAGAAAGAAATCATCCCTCCAAAACAAGGGAACTCTGGTGAGCTTTTGGGTTTGTTGTTCTTAACTTGAGCTTTATATTTATTTTGTGGTTTATTTGAGTTAAGATGGTTCTAGTTAAATAATTTAATGAATTATTTTGTGTTTTCTAGTCTTCAGAGATGAGGATTCAAGTCCTAAGGCTGTAGAGCCTGAAAAGACGGAAGCTCATTACTCCCCTGACTCCAGCTTCTCTAACAGTCCTGACTCAGCGTTGTTGAGACGGGAAAGTCACCACGGTGAGTAAATGGTCCGGAACACGTTGAGCATTATAATTATAGCTCTCGGGTTGTAATGCATGAGCGTGAGTATACACAAAGCTGTGAAGGCGAACTAGATAACGTAATGATGTTTTGTAGTCTCATTTGGCCACTTTATTAGTAACAGCCTTATTTAAGACGCGTATAAGCTTCAAAATTCTCGAGAGGGGTATTTACTGGTGTGTTTTATATCGTAGAGCAACAAATAAAAACATCTCAAGCCTGTGCACACCATAGAACTTTTTTTCAGGGAAGATGAGGGAACCGTAAGTGCAAAAATGCTAACTCGTGCAATATCAATAGAGACTTTATAGACATCCAGGTTGGCCAGTCAGACAAGGTGGTTTTAGTCCATATTCCTGCTGAATGAATGAATTTTGGTCTGCAGCAACTAATTAATCTCATAAAAGTGACAAAATATATAGCACATTATACATTTTCCTGCATGATGTTTTTTTAACTTTCCTGAGGCACAGCCTCTTGAGTGCAACCCAAAAATCTTGCTTGGTGTTATCCTCTACTCTCTTGGTGTCCTTACTGTTGGATACTGTATGATCTTTAACAAAGATGTGCCATTAAATTGTTTAGTAAATTGTTTCATGGCTCTTTTTTGCACATGAGTAAATGTTTTTGCTTGTTGTAATTTGTTTGTTCATCCTGTTTTTTCAGAGCCTCCAAGAGGGGTTAAGGAGAAGGATTGTTTGCTGCCTGTCAGCCCTCTGGTTGAAGTGGAGATGATGAGAATAGACAATGTCCTGTCTAATTTCGGCGACTCCTCTGGTGAAGCTCCTCCTCTTTTACCTCACCAAACACCCCAGAGGATCAAGATGTGCAAGAAACGTACGTTTACTTGTCACTTATTAAATGTGCTTGTCGAAAACACAAACTCACAATACGGCTGCTTTGTCACATCAGTGGGCACTTGGGAGGCGTGGCCAGATCGCATCGTCATCGCCTTGTCACTTCTCGATGCGTTCCAGTCTTCCTGGCAATGTCTTTGAGTTGCTCACTCGTGTGCGCACATGAATACACACCCCTGTTTTCTTTTTCCTGCTTTTGGATCACATCTTTCATGACGTTTCCACAGGTGGGCTTGGTGTAAGGACAGCAGGGCGGGGCTTGAGTCTGTGTGATGTGACCAATCTGTCCCCTGCAGCCTATCGCAAATTCTCCCATGGTGGCTCACGGCCGTCCGATGCCCGATGCGGCACCCCCGTTCCTGCTCGCAAGCGGCGCTGCACCATGGTGGTGGACTACAAGGAACCCACGCTAAATGCGTAAGTTTACATATTGATGCTGCTCTTAGTGTAAACGATTTCAGATATGTTCACATTTAACTGCTTGAATGCTCAACAATCACATTGTGGTGTTGACAGGAAACTTCGGCGTGGAGACAAGTTCACAGACGTGCAGTTCCTCTGCTCTCCTATTTTCAAGCAAAAGTCTGGCAGGAGGTCTGTGCAGAAATCAAGGAATTCAATTAGCAGCCAGCAGCCATTTGATAAATACAATGAGTCATTTGTTGGATGTCGCTGAATGCAGCTACCTTGTGGAGTTTTGGCTGGTATTGTCCGTTTTAATGTGATTTCTTAGGTTTGACTGACAAGTTTGTTTTTTTTAACTCTCAATATTGTATTTTTTTTTTTATTATTATTTGATGAAAAACTGTGATCAGTAGAGCTTAATTGTTGGCTGCAAAGCTTACGTCTGGCTTTTCTCCTCATGATCTCTATGTAAATGTATTAATGGTTATTTTATGAAGATGGCTAATTCTATTTGTCAGCATCTTTAGTTCTATTTTTATTATATCCTGAATTACTTCATATTATTGTCATTTAATATATTTTAATGTTTCATTAATTGTAATATTCTACTGTATTATCTGACAATAAATGCTGTTTCCTAATTTTCTCTTTTGCAACTATATATAAGTTTATATTAATGGCTGTAGTAGCGTGGCAATGAAGTCAGGGTGTCCGCTGGGTCTTAAATGTATAAAAGTTTATAAATCAATTTAATGACATTTAAGGCCCTTAATTGTATCTCAAAAAACAGTTTTTGAGATACAATACATACTATATGACATACCATATGACTTTTTCGACACTATGCTTTATGCTACATTTCTGACTTTTTCCGACGTGCTTTACTATTAGTTTTACAAGCAATACTAAGACCATTTTTGAATTTTTTTCGACATGCTATTGCGAGGAATTAAAGTTCAATAGCACCCCTAGTGGTGGATGTTGTATGTTACAGTATCTTTACTTATAGAAGTTTAAACCAAAAAGCATAGTCGTTAGATGTATTGAACACTATGAAGAAGATTTGCTAAACTGTATTAGGTCAGATAGGGTTTCCAGATACGCCCATATGAATGAGTGAAGGATGGCCAAGCGAGGATGTTGGTGTGTGCTGCTTTAAGGAAGAAGGAGGCTGGACAAACGGGTCGTAGGCCAAGGAGGAGCCTATCGGATTTCAGCCAATCGCTGAGCTGATCAATGGGAGAAAAATGTGAAACGTGAAACTTTACCTGACTTTGCTGGGACAGAAGGGCTGTGAATTGGGGGAGAGCTTCAGATCCTCTGCGGGCCATGGGCCAGAAACTAGTCTGCCGGGTTGCCCGGATTGGGCCTCAATTTCATGGAACATTAAATTATTAATAGTGTGATTCGGTTTGTAACTGTTGTTGCGTTTGTGGGATAATAAATCCTTTTGATTTTGACATGAACCAGCTGTTCTGATTTGGAGGCGGTTGAGAAGCACATGGCGAGAGGGAGGGGCGGCTTCTCTCTTCGAACAGAAGTTCTGTCACCCTAGCACTATACTATGACCGCTTTTGACTTTCCTCATGCTATACTATGACCGTTTTTGACTGTTTTCGACATGCTATGACTGTTTTTGACTTTCCGACATGCTATACTATGACTTTTTTCGACATGCTATACTATGACCGTTTATAACTGCAGCAACTCCCTTCATCAACACCACGACCAGTGGCGGGACTTCAGCGGGATTATGCCTTATCCGACATCACCAGCCCTTGATTGTCTTCCTTCAGGATGGTGTCCAATCGCCAAAGACGTTGCACTATTCAGATTTGTACACTGTGTAATAAATTATTTTGAAATTCTAATGAAGTCTCTCCTGATTAAATTACTTTTATATGACTGTTTTCGACATGTTATACTATGACCGTTTTTGACTTTCTTCGACATGCTATACTGTGACCGTTTTTGACTTTCTTCGACATGCTATACTATGACCGTTTTTGACTTTCTTCGACATGCTATACTATGACCGTTTTTGACTGTTTTCGACATGCTATGACTGTTTTTGACTTTCCGACATGCTATGACCGGTTTTGACTTTTTTTGACATGCTATACTATGACCGTTTTGGACTTTTTTCGACATGCTATACTGTGACCGTTTTTACTTTCTTCGACATGCTATACTATGACCGTTTTTGACTTTCTTCGACATGCTATACTATGACCGTTTTAGACTTTCTTCGACATGCTATACTATGACCGTTTTTGACTTTCTTCGACATGCTATACTGTGACCGTTTTGGACTTTTTCGACATGCTATACTATGACCGTTTATAACTGCAGCAGCTCCCTTCATCAACACCACGACCAGTGGCGGGACTTCAGCGGGATTATGCCTTATCCGACATCACCAGCCCTTGATTGTCTTCCTTCAGGATGGTGTCCCATCGCCAAAGACGTTGCACTATTCAAATTTGTACAATGTGTAATAAATTATTTTGAAATTCTAATGAAGTCTCTCCTGATTAAATTACTTTTATATGACTGTTTTCGACATGCTATGCTATGACTGTTTTTGACTTGCTATGACTGTTTTTGACTTTCTTCGACATGCTATACTATGACTGTTTTTGACTGTTTTCGATATGCTATACTATGACCGTTTTTGACTTTTTCCGACATGCTATGACCGGTTTTGACTGTTTTCGACATGCTATACTATGACCGTTTTAGACTTTCTTCGACATGCTATACTATGACCGTTTTTGACTTTTTCCGACATGCTATGACCGGTTTTGACTTTTTTCGACATGCTATACTATGACTGTAAAACAGTTTCCCTTACCAGACATGAAAGAATAAAGAGCTGTGTAGTGTCTTGCAACAGATGAAGGATCCTTGAGTTGAAAAACTACAAGACACTAAAATAGCCTCACTTCTGTTTTATTCAGTCTATAAAATAGGCTAATACTATGTCATTAAAACCAGTTGTACAAAGAGCATGAGATAATTTTCCAGACATATTACAAAAATGTATTTTTTTCCTAAAGTTTGAAAAGTACAAACACTTTTTTACAAAACAGGAAAACTACATAGTATTGCACAATCTTTTCATATATCTCCAAAGTATAAAGTTATCAATCTCCATCTGCAGGACAAAAATAAGAAAGAATAAATTAAGACCTTGTCTTAAGCATAATTCTTTTAAATTACAGAACATAAATAAGAATAAACTCTAGGTATTTGAATTTAGTCCTTAGTGAACAGCAGTAATTTAAGCGTAAAACAAATTCTGAAAAAAAAAAAATATTTGAACAAATACTTAATAAAAGTGCATTTCGATAGTCAAACTGCCCTATGTGGCTTATTGGGGAAAAGAAGATTGTTTTTTGTTCTGAAACAGAAAATATATGTTATGTACACATTTAAAATATACAGTGGGTATAAGTGCTTTAAAATAATTCAAATCTGTACATATTTAAAGTATGTATTCCTCTTTTGGCAGGATGAACTCATCACAGACAAGCTTTGACCTCATTAACGCCGGGCACGCTTACAGGAAAGAAGTTAAATAGACAGGAAAACCTGAACTCTTCATCACGTTCCTCACAGGTAACACTTGTGTAATGACTTAATACAATGTAGATGTGGTTACTGCTCTTCACAACTCTACCTGAGTCAACTGAGAGGAAAAGGCAGACACTCAAAAAGGCAGGGCGTGAAAATATGAAAAGAAAGGAGAGAAGAGATGGAGGGAGTGAATCTCCAATCAGCTGTCAATCTTTGTTGCCTTTTAATGTCTACCACAAAAATAATAACGGAAGTTTTCTGACCCGGTTAAAATATATCACTATTCCACTGCCCTGTTTTTCCATGGGACTTTGGGATATGTAATGAAATAAAAAGACACAATGCTTCTTTTGCTTAATGTCAGCAACAGTCTCGCAGGCCTTCAATGAGGCCTTCCCTTATGGCCTATCTTTCAGTGTTAATATCAGTCTAAGCTACTGATTCAGGATCTGGGTTGGCATGCGTCAAACATCAGAAGAGTGCTGATCTGAGACCCGTTCGCATCTTTTAAATTAAGATACGCGTTTCTGAAACCTAACCGCTCCAGAGTCAGTAGTCCTGTTCTTCTTCACTTCTCCATGCATATAGCTGTCTTTTGCATTACCCATAACCTAACCTTCAACATTAATAGTCTCATCATTTGTTAAGGTGAGGAGAAACTTCTTCATCCTCTCTTCTACTTCTCGATGAGGCCTGCTTCTTTGATCTTGGTGTAGAAGAATTTCTCCAGTAAATTGGCACACTTGTAGTACTCGCTTTCTGGAGGGTTGTATTCCCGACAGTTGGTGAAGATACGCTGCATGTCAGCCATGAACAACTTGCGTGTCGTGTAGTACCTGGTCTTCAGACGCTCGCTCATTGTCTTAAGGTCTGTGAGGGAAAAAAAGTATTTTGAATTTTTGACCATTGATTGAATATGTACGCTACCAAACCAAGAGCTCTTCTCTTAATGCACAACGGACATGCGTAGTATTTATAAGTACTTATTCCAAAAGACCTGCGCTGTGATCTAAAAATTCAAGAGGACACAGCCTCAATCCCAGCATGCATCTGCCCCGATGATGTGTCCTGTGAACCTCATCTGCAATGTCTTACGCCTCAGTTTTAATTAATTATTGTAAATAATTAGGTCTGCCTATTGGTAAGTGTGTTCCACTTTAAATCCTCTTATACTTCAGACACATACTGTATGCTGTATACATACCCATGGGGAAGCGAATGACTTGGTAATACCCGGGTGCCTCTGTTTTCTTCACTGGCTCCATGAAAGGCCAGGCATTCTGGTGACTCTAAGACATAACGATCAGTCTGGTAAGAATACAATGTGTGTATGTGTTAAAAGAACACTGCATAATGGGTACGTGTGTGCCTAATCCTCACCTTCACATGCTGGAGGATGGTCTTCAGAGTGCTGTACAATTGATCTGGGTCCTTCAGTTCCTTCCTAAAATACAGTAAGTAACAGAAAACATTATCAAATGAATAAGCCAAGTCATTGGGTGAAGCAATGGTAAGGCACTCTGCTAAATTCAAATCCTGTACAGTAGAGTCACACTCACCCTTTGCCCACAGGCTTCCAGCCAGTTTCACCTTTTGATATAAAGAAACTCAAATTAACCTCATATATCATACTAAAGACATCCATAAATGTTAGATACAAACCTAACGTCGTGTAAGAGAAAGATATACTGCCTACTGTGAAGTCAATATTGTGAGTAACTTACGTATGCCAGGAATGCTCTCAATGGGAATCTGCCGAACTCCTTCCTTAAAACAGGAAAGCCCCGGATAGACCTTTCTGATCTGAGCCTGCTTCCTTTCTATCAGCTTCTTGATGATCTGAGGGAGACAATAAAAAAATGAGAATAAAAAGGATAGTGAGTGCAGGGACAAAAACAGAGAAGGAAGGCATTTAAACAATTCAAATGCAAAAACACACACCTCCTTCTGCTTCTTGATAATGACAGAAAACTCTGTGTAGGGAATGCTGGGGTTGAGTTCACAGCCCATGAGTGTGGCTCCTTCATAGTCCTTGA